CCTGAACGTAATAAAGGCCATATATGACAAACCTACAGCCAATGGTCAAAGACTAAAACCATTTCCCTTAAAAACAGGAACAAGACAGGGTGGTCCACAGCAATCAGACAGGAAGAAAACATAAAAGGTATCCAAATTGGAAAGGAAAAAGTAAAACTGTTATTACTTGCAGATGATATAGAAAACCCTAAAGACTCCACCAAAGTACTACCATATTTGGTAAATGAATTTTGCAAGGTAGCTGGATACAAAATCAACATCCGGAAATCAATGGCATTTTTATATACCAACAATGAACCCTTAGAAAGAGAAACTGAAAAAAAATCCCATTTACCATTGCAACTAAAAAAATAAGATACCTAGGAATAAACTTAACCAAGGATGTAAAAGACCTGTACTCAGAAAACTACAGGACACTGAAAAAAGAAATAGAGGAAGATACAAATAAGTCAAAGAATATACCATGTTTATGGATTAGAAGAATTAATATCATTAAAATATCCATACTACCCAAAGCAATCAATAGAGTCAATGCAGTTCCTATTAAAATAACACCAGCATATTTCGCAGATCTAGAACAAATATTCCAAAAATTTATATGGAACCAAAAAAGACCCTGAATAGCCACAACCATCTTGAGAAAGAAGGTCAGAGTTGGGGGGATCACTTTACCATATATCAAACTATACTACAAAGCCGTTGTAATCAAAACAGCCTGGTATTGGCACAAAAACAGACATATAGATCAATGGAACAGAACAGAGACCCCAGAAATCAACTCAAGTCATTATGGTCAATTAATATTTGACAAAGGAGGCAAGAGCATACAATGGAGTAAAGACAGTTTGTTCAATAAATGGTGTTGGGAAAATTGGACAGGTACATATAAAAAAATGAAACTAGATTACCAACTTACTCCATACACAAGAATAAATTTAAAATGGATAAAAGACTTAAAAGTAAGTCATGAAACCATAAAAATCCTGGAAGAAAACATAGGCAGTAAAATCACAGACATCTCCCATAGTGGAATTTTCACCAATACAGCTCCTAGGACAACAGAAACAAACAAACAAAATAAACAAATGGGACTACATTAAACTAAAAAGCCTCTGCACAGCAAATTAAAACATCCTCAAAATACAAAGGAACCCCAAGGTATAGGAGAACATATTTGCCAAGGATATATTTGATAAGGGGTTAATTTCCAAAGTGTACAAAGAACTCATACAACTCAACAAGAGGAAGACAAACAATCCAATTTAAAAATGGGCAAAGGACCTGAATAAACAATTCTAAGCGGGAATACAGATGGCCTAGAGGCATATAAAAAAATGTTCAATGTCGCTAATTATCAGTGAGATGCAAATTAATACCACAATGAGGTATTACTTCACACCTGTCAGAATGACTACCATCAACAAATCAACAAATGACACGTGCTGGCTAGGATGTGGAGAAAGGGGAACCCTAGTAAACTTCTGGTGGGAATGCAGACTGGTGCAGCCACTATGGAAAACATGGAGGTTCCTCAAAAAATTAAAAATGGAACTGCCTTTTGACCCAGTGATTCCGCTTCTAGGAATATATCCTAAGAACATTGAAACACTAATCAGAAAGAATATATGCACCCCTATGTTCACAGCAGCACAATTTACAATAGCTAAGATCTGGAAACAGCCTAAGTGCCCATCAGTAGATGAGTGGATGAAAAAGCTGTGGGACATTTACACCATGGAACACTATGCAGCTGTAAAGAAGAAGGATCTCATACCATATGCGACAGTATTGATGGACCTAGCGAATATTATGCTAAACAAAATAAGCCAGGCAGAGAAAGACAAATATGACATGATCTCCCTTATATGTGGAATCTAAAGAACGTAATAAACTGATGAACAGAACAGATTCAGTGACATGGAAGCATGGATCAGACTGACAAATCTCAGAGGGAAGGAGGGGTAGGTAGGAGATTAACCAAAGAATTTAGACGCATATATGCATAACCCATAGACAGNGGGGTTAATGGGGGGAAAAGAGGGCATCTGTAATATTTTCGACAATAAAGATAAATTTTAAAATATATATATCCTCCAGTGAGGATTAAAAAAAAAAAGCGGGTCAATCCAACCTTGGGTACCTCTTGATGTGATGCCCTAGGAAGAACACAACACTCCCTATGTAGTATTCTTGTCAACAAGAGAAAAAAAAGACCTTGAATATTACGTTTGTAGGTCTGACTACAACTTGCAGGAAATACAAGAAAAAGAACAAATGAAATGATACCAAAGGAAACAATGAGAATGTGGGACATTTTACACGACAGATGATATTTTCTTCAATAAATGACATGGGGAAAAAGAAGGAACAATTGTAGATTGCAAGAGACATTAGATACATAACAGTGAAACGAATATGTGGGCCCTGTATGTATTTTGACTTAGAGCCATAAGTAAAAAGGCATTTTTGAGGCAATTTGGGACACCCAAATATGGACTGAATATGGAATTTATATATCTGAATATAATCAGCACTAGATTATATTCAGGAATTATTGCCAACTTCATTACGTAGACAATGGCACTGTGGTACATTCTCTAAAAATCTCATTTCCTGTTAGAGATGCACACTGAAGTTTTTATTTACTGGTAAAATAATATAATTCCTAGGATTTGCTTTCTAATGCTCCACAAAAAAGGGTAAGGGGAAAATAATTAACAAGAATGGCAAAATGTTGATTATTGTTGAAGCTGTATGATGGGAGATCATTATTGCATTCTTTGTACTTTTGTGTTATGTTTTGTGTTAATGATTTTTTTAATGTTAAAGATGCCTTTTCTTCTTGTAATTAGTAGGTCCATCTGGAGATTTAATTTCCTAAGAAATGAGAATCAAGTCTGTGAAGTTAGTTTCCTTCTTACAATGGTTGATTCTTTCATCTTGGGACACACAGATAAACTGTATATCTACTGTTATGAGAACATTTCCTGTTTTTTGTATAACTATTAGATTTACAGTTTCCTGTAGTAAATCTTCTCTGTTTGCATAAATAGGAACAAATGTATATTTCTATATAGGCACATTCAGGCACTCCTTTCTGTGCAGGACTGTGTAGTGTAAGACCATAAAAATGACTGCATGCTAAAACTATGCAAAGCAATACTAATAATCAATAGGAAAAATTACAATTGTTGGTGGCCTTTAAAATGTTTTTTCAAAACATTAAAAACTCTCTTACTGGCAGTTATTACTAGATAAAAGAAAATTTAAAAAGGAAAGCTAATATTTATTTAGTATATGTAATTTAAAATGTTAGAAACATTGCAAATTGGTGTCTTATTTCTTTGTTTAAAAAAACAACAACTTTCCAATTTTCACTGGGGGTGAAGGAAAAGTGAATTAATCTATATCCAACCTAGGTTAAGGCCTCTAACTAAGCAATCCAAAGCACCTGGAGATTTACATTTTGCAAAGTCACATCTAGTTTCTATTTTTCCTAACTTATGACATGAAGTGGACATCTTTCTTATGTCTTGGTGAATTGTCATACTCCTTTCTAAGTCAGGATCAGCTTCCAACATTTTATCCTTTGTGCTTTCAACAACATGAAATAGCTCTGAGAATTGCTTTTTAATAAAACTTTGTGTTTGAAGTAGCTATGATGTCTGTTGAAATTCTGTGCATTTTTTTAAAAATCTTTACAGGCTTTTATCTAAACATTGGACACAATCTAATTGCATTTTATAAGATTGCTTTCAAAATACTGACAATGAGGTTTAGCCCTCTAGATCAGTAGTTTAACAATTTTAGTATCTTATCAGCAATGGTCTTCAAGCTTTTTTCAAGTGATGTTATACTCTAAGCAGAACAATTCTAGTGTGTAAGGGTGAGGATGGGGGACCTAGAATCCCATCCCCCAGGTCTTCCCTCTCAGCTCCTGAGGTTGCCCCCAAACATCTCCAGGAACTTGGTTTTCAGTTATCTGCACTCACAGTAGATCAGAGGTATGTGTTTGATAAAGTCAAGTCATAAAGACACCACACACAAGGATGCAGATCAACAAGGATCAGACATGTTGATCAGACATGAGTGCCTCAGAATCATTCCAGGCTTGGCAGAAATATCCCATCCCTCTATTTCTCTCTATTGCATACCACTGATTAGGATCCAGTGTTACTCTCCACCCATCCTTCTAAATAATGCTTCAGATTGTTCCTGGCTCTTGGCACCAACCTTGACTGAGGCTTTCATTCCACTTATCAAAGCTCAACTTCACCAGCAACTCCCCAGCCCTGCCTATGCTTACGGAGACGTCAGCCTGGAATCTGGAGGTATCACACATGGTCCCACACAAACTAATTTGTCTCTGTATTTCTCTCCCCACATGCCTTTTGCTGTTTTAGCTTCTCTTAGATACACAGTCTTTGTTCTAAAAGTGTCCGTGTCCTGAATTACTTCCTTGCCCTCTTTACAGGATCAAAACCAGCTGTTGGAGCTGGCTGTTCCTTTCATTGACAATCAGCCTGACTTTTAACTTAGATCTCCTTAATGTTTTGGCCATATCTTTATGAGCGTAATTCCTGGGTAGATGGCAGGGAGAACGAAGGGGGATGGAATACAGAAGGAAGTAGATTAGGATGGAAAGAAAGTATCCTCCTTTAAAGCTTCCACCACACTATTTTTATCATTATAAAGATGCAAGAGAGGAGGGGAAGAAGAAAGGGGGAAAATGGAAATTTAATATAAAGTTTTTATCAGAAAGAGAAAGAATAAATGCCTGTCTCAATGCTTCTTGGAAATTTGTGGGGGGTTTACTATGAGTGTAGCTGTGTGGATGTGTGGATGTCTCCTTGTGTGTGTGATGCCCCGTCACTTTTGGGAGTGTCCCCAGTTGCAAAATCAGTCTGCTCTCACACCACTCATAAAATCTAAATTGTACATGAAAACTTCCATCAAAACTTAAAAAATATTTTTTAGAATGCTTGATTACTAATCCCTACCAGCTGATCATCCAATCCAAAAAGTTGTTCCAAGTAAGTTTCAGATAGTCTCCGAATTTTGGGTTTCATTGATGGATCAATGCACATATCCCTTTAATAAAATCAAAAAACACAGTCAAAAATTAGTTTCATTTTATAGTAGTTAGTTCCATAATTAAATCAGTGGTTCTTTGGACGGATGTAAGGGAGGGGAAGGAAAAGACAAGTCCCTTGGGAGAAGCATATCAAAATCACCAGGAGGGCTTTTTCAAACTACCCCCATCAACATTTTGCAGCATTCCCTGTGAAGGCATGCCTCCCCTTCCTCATGTCCAACTTGAAATAAACTGCCCTAGAGCATATAGTATCGATGAAAACACTATTTCTCAAGTTGAGAACCAGTGGGCAAATTGTGGAGGGATTCTTTTAACAATCTTGAGATTGGAAGCATCCAATAGCAAGACCTTTTTTGATATTATACAATGAGCATTTTACCTTCAAAATATCTCCCTACCACAAATTAAAACAATACTCACCATAGAAGACTTTCGAGGCCATTTTTCATTATAATGACGATCATTTCCTCTAAATACCTCAGCGGATCCTGAGGACAAGTAACAAGTAGACCACACAACAGAACCTGGGGAAAAGAAATAAAATCGGTGTTTCTGGATCTGCATGTTCTCAAAGCAACAGATAGACTTCTGGCCCTACTACGAAGTCAAATGGTATGACAGGTTAAAGTATGCATGCTTTATAGCTATCCCGCTATATTTATTCAGTGTTAATATTGTGCTAAAGTCAAACCAAAATGCAGTTTACCTTTACTCTTTTTTTCACATCCATCATAAACAACACAATAGAGTCCCTGCACAGTGTTTTGCATTAGGTAAGGAGTATTTTAGAGCCAAATTGAAGACATTATTGTGATTCTTTAGATTAGTGGTTTCTACTCTTTTTAAGTATGAGGAACTCCTTTTAAAAGTCAAGAATTCCGCCCGGCCAGGCGTGGCTCAGTGGTTGAGCTTCGACCTAGGATCCAGGTGAACGGGGTTCGATTCCCGGTCAGGGCACAAGCCCGGGTTGCGGGCTCGATCCCCAGTCAGGGGCATGCAGGAGGCAGCCAATCAATGACTCTCTCATCATTGATGTTTCTATCTCTCTCCCTCTCCTTTCCTCTCTCTGAAATCAATAAAGATATATTTAATAAATAAATAAATAAAGTCAAAAATTCCTCAGACCTAACTACAAAAGTGATTGAGAAAATCCACCACCAAAATCTACTGTGGGGTCCAGTCAAGATGGAGGCGTAGGAAAATGAACCACCCACAACCACATGAAAATTACAATTAAACTACAGAACAACCATCATTCAGAACAGCCTGAAATCTAGCTGAACAGAAGTCCTATAACTAAGGAGATGAAGAAACCGCATGGCCCTGGCCAGGTACCTCAGCTGGTTAGAGCATCGTCCCTATATGCCAAGGATGCAGGTTTGATCTCTAGTCAGGGCATGTTCAAAAAGCAACAAATAAATGCATAAATAGCTGGAAAAACAAATCTATGTTTATCTCTCTCTCTCAAAATTAGTAAATAATTAAAAAAAGAAGAAGAAGAAGCCACACGGAGACTAGCAGGAGGCATGGAGGGGCGGAGAGTGGAATGTGTGGTGGTTAAAAATCAAGAGGGGTATCTCAGGTGCAGAGGTCTCCCTTGAGGAGTGAGGGGTCCCAGCCCCACACCATGCCCCGCAGCCCAGGGTTCCAGTGCTGGGAAGAGAAGTTCCCATAACTTCTGGTTATGAAAACCAGCAGGCATTGTGGCTGAGTGAGAAGGAGGCTTCTGGAGTCCCAGGCAGTTCCTCTTAAAGGGCCCACATGGGATGTAAAGTACAGCATAGGGAATATAGTATATTGTAATAACTATATATGGTGTCAAATGGGTACTAGATTTATCAGGGTGATCACTTCATAAGTTATATGTCTAATCACGAGGTTGTACACCTGAAAGTAATATAATATTGTATGTCAACTGTAATTTGAAAACATTTAAATTTTTTCAGTGGCTTAGTTGGTTGGGCATTGTCTGTGCACCGAGGGGTTGCTCATTCGATTCCTGGTCAGGGCACATGCCCAGGTTGCGGGCTCAGTCCCCGGTGGGGAGAGTGTAGGAGGCAGCAGATCAATGTTTCACTCTCATATCGATGTCTCTCTCTCTCCCTCTCCCTTCCTCTCTCTCTAAAAACCAATAAAAAGGATTTTTAAAAGAAAAAAAAAATTAAATCTGCGAATTCAGAAGCCTTTTTGAAATGTTTTGGTATTTTATCATTCATAAGATCTACAGATTTGGAAAACTGTAGCATGGTTCATGTAGATGGGAAACAAATGACTTACTGTATCTAAGAACATGTTTAAAGCACATGAAACTCAGAAAATTGCTGCTGTCATATTTTCCTATTGAGTTTCTCCCCAAAGAAGAAACTTTGGTGAGATATACAGAATTATTTCATATTTTTCCAGTTAAGAGAGAAAGGTTTACAGCACACATCCCACAGAAATCACCTGGAATCCCAGACAGTCTCTTTGCCTTCCCATTCACTGTCTCCAGCAGGGTGGAGTAGGGGGCTTTCTTTGGCCTTTCTTCCACATATAGCCTATTCTTGCTGGAGTTTTTCCTACTCCTCTCTCTCTCATAAACAAAATAATTCCACCCCTTGAGCGATGCACAGTTCTTCCCACCTCCATGGGCCAACTATCAGCAGATCCTTAGGCTCTCAGCAGTTCCCATAACATTCCTCCAAAAAAAAGAAGACAGTTTCTCCTTGAACCTTTCACAACACATTTCCCACTTTGCAATAGCTCTATGTCCCCCTCAGAGTGTGCAGCCTGCAGGCTGAAAATCCAGCCCTTAAGACTATGAGAAAATGGCTGTCTCTCCCTCTCCAACTCTGCCTCCTGACCTAGCCCCACAGCTGCTCACAGTGAGCCCTCAGCAGTCTGCACACTGACTTCCTTCTCCTCCAAACCTGGAAAATATACTTGCACAGGAGATCAGGGGTTCTCACCACAGCTGCGAGCTGGATTTTAATAGCCTTCTATTCCCAAAGGGCTGAAGTCTTCTATTACATGGAGGCCAGACTTCAGACAGCTCCCCGCACAGTTCTGATGAAAGGTCACCTGCTCCTTTGAATTTGTGTGCCTGGGTCCCCAAAATACTAGTTTCTGTACTCCCTACTCTGTGCTCCCTCTCCATCCTATTCTGGCACCTTGAAGACATCTGCATCAGAATCACCTGGGAAGTGATTTGGTCTTTAAGGACAGTACCTATGAATCCATATTTTTATTAGATTCAGGGCAATACCTACATACATGGACTCTCAAGTCTGAGAACTAGTCCTTTATGGAATTCACCTTTAAGGTGAGTTTTTAAGAAAGTTGGGATCTAATTAATGGATATGAGAAATTGCTTTTTTATATATATTTCCTAGCTCCACAGATCAGAAAACTACATTTCCTGAAAAGTTAACTTGCAGAAGTCAATTCAGGTTGAAAGAATAAGTCTCTGGAATGCTAATAAAGGCATATGGAACCAGCACAGTTCAAATGTTCACTTTGCAAAACAAATCTCTCAGTTCATAATTTCCCACTAGGCAAAATAAAATAGCCTGAGGTGGGCTTTTTTGTTGTTGTTTTAATCCTCACCTGAGGATATTTTTCCCATTGCTTTTTCTGAGACTGGAAGGGAGAGAGAGAGAGAGAGAGAGAGAGAAACATCAGTGTGAGATGTGAGAGAGACACATTGATTGGTTGCCTCCCACACACAGCCACCAGGGATCAAGCCTGCAACCGAGGTGCCCTTGGCCAGAATCGAACTCAAGACTCTTCAGTCCATGGGCCAACACTCTAACCACTGAGCCAAACCAGCTAGGGCTAGCCTGGGGTTTTGTATATTATTGTGTGAACTGTGCATAGCTACATGCCAATAAGAAACCATAGTTAGTAAATTAATAGCTTTTTTTCTTATTGAAAATAAAAATCACAAAACCATTAGCTTGGTCTTCATAAGCAGAGGTGAAATATGTAAACATTATCACAAGATGAATGTTTGACTCTCAGAAACATTAATCAGGGCTTTATTATTGCTCTCTGTCTTAGTAAAAACTTACACAAAAACTTACACACAAAAAGACTGTGACTTAATTATCCAAACTGACTTTATCAGCTTGTAAATTCACAGAACTATTGTATAATCCTCAACTTTCTTTTGGCTCTGCCTCCCTAATCTCAGTCCCTAATATTTTTCAAATATTCTGAAAGCTGTCTGGATACTGATGACAAATGTGGGTTAATCCAGGACAGTCGCGTCTACTTTCTACTACTACCCATCTTTCAAGGAACAAGATAATGCAGTGGGTAGAGCCCACTGGGTTTAAATCCTGGATCTGAAATCTTCTAATGTGTAATCTCTGACAAGTTACTTCTCTGTTCCTGTTTCCTTAACTATACACGGGATAATGAAGGTACACATTCCATATGACTATAATGCGAATTAAATTAATATATGTAAAGGACTTTGAAAATTGTCTAGCACAAAATAAGTACTCACAGCAAGCCATCATTATTATTTTTAACCATTGCATGGCTAATTATCACTGCCATTAGAGGAAAAGACTTAAAGGGGGAAAAAATCAAAAACATTCCCTTGTACCATTCAAAGGCCAGTGTGATGACAGAGAGAAACTGACTATATACCAAATCTAATGGAAGAGATTAGTATGAATGCATTTGGGGAGAAATGGTTGGGAGAGAGAGCTTGATAGAACAATAGTTTAAATATAAATAGCAAGATAGTAACTATTAGAATTATGGGTAGATACAAGACATTTAAGAGAGCAAGTCTTACTTACCTTTTAAGCTATTCAGATAAACAGTGAAATATGCTAAGGGCCTAAATAGCAATACAGAAAATAATTGTTCCATGGTTGTAGAAATAAAAGTGATTACCAAATGCTTGTGCGGTCCTTAGCAGTTGGAGAATCTTCCACCTGGCAAGGACAGGGCTGGGGGCTTAAAGGTAGTGTCTTTCTCTTGGCAAGAGCAAAGCATTGGGGCCCAGACCAATTTGGTTGGAGTACAGGATTAATGTAAGAAAGAAGCAGGCAGAGCCTCGCTGTGAAGAAGTCAGAGTTCTATACTAGACCCTGGGACTAGATCTCCTCTAGACCTAACAGGTCATTCATGATCAAACCTCAGCAAGATCAATCACATGGCAAAAGTCACAGATGGTCGTGCCTCAGAGAGGCACAGTTCAGTTAGTTTCCAAGATCCCACTAGGATGGCCTTGACTTTTAATGGGTGTATTCTTGCTTCTGGACTTCACAGATAAGGCAAAGAAGGGCGAGGCGATTCACAGAGCCAGGTTTTGAAGCTACAAACCCAGGGCTTCTCCCTTACCCATACCATGCACTCACGCAAAATTGTGTGCATGTGTATCTTCCTCCAGAACTTAAAGAGTTTTGGGGGTTTTCTGGTATGATATCTATCTGGAAATATTCTATTCATATGCAAACCCAGAAACACATTCTTCTTTTAAATAAGTGGTAGGATAGTCGACATACAGTTTGCACCTTGTTCTTT